TCTCTCTCTCTCTCTCTCTCTCTCTCTCTCAAACAGTTTATCCCGAATAATGCATTATATAATCTTTATTTCAAAATAAAATCCCATTTATTGGAAGCGATTCTTGTTTTTACTATCCATACAATTGTATTATTTATGAGTTTTTGTACTTTTTATTTATCTTTTTGCGAATGTATTAATAATTTGAAAATCTAAAACATTTAATACCATTAATCACTTCAATTGGCAATAATTTTGATAAATATTTATTTAATTAATTTTATAAAAACATTTATTACAATATTATTGCATAAATATAATTAAGCCTTCATTTATTCTTTGACCACTTTATTCCCATAGGAAAGTATTTCTTCATTTAAATATCAATACAAAAACGTGTATTCGTTTAAACAAAAGTCATTTTGGCATTTATTCAAGTCTACACTTAAACTAATGTTATAAAAAGGCAAATATCATTTAAATTAACGAAAAGGTTATTATAGAATAGAAATATAACCATAAAAACTTGTTTTTTGGTAATTCCTCGACTCATTTGTCTGAATATATAGTATCATATTTTCTCTGATATTTCTCTTAATTGAGATATAAATCAGTCTTTTTGACAATAAAACTAACAAAAATTGGAAAAATAATATTAGAATAAATTTTGAAAAGGCTTTAAAACACTTATCATAAAATGATTGAAATTCAACATCACTTCAATACAAAAGCAAAGAATTCCTTCAAATCGAGATATTTATAGATATATTTCATTTGTCGGTTCAATGAATAAATTGTGAAAATTTTAAGCATTCAGTGCTTTGAGTGTAAAGTCGGGACTCTTTTTGGACATACAGTATATTACCTGAAATTCCTTTTAAGTCAATTACTTGTTAATTCTTTTCACTGATGAGTTACCCGAGTATCTCATGGAAACCATAATAAATTCAATGCTTTTCACATAGAAATATATACTTTATATATACTGTATATATTTATTATTGTCATTAACTTTTTACTCACGTATTCCTTTTACTTTACACATAAATAACAAATAAAATCTCTTGTGTTCAGCACTAATACAATCAAAATTTATTTGATAAATAAATTTCATTATTGTTTTTGTTTTTATTTTTTTGCCGTCCAATTCTATCTCTATTTATAGCTATCGATAAGTTATGACAATACATATAGAGTTTCCAAAACCGAAAGAAAAATAATATGATTGATAAATATTTAAAACACAGATTAACGACATTAAGTTTGATGTTGTGAACCAACAAATCGATGGTCTGTTCGAGAAATATCCGTTTGCTTTCAAAGATGTCAAAGCTTTCAGTGACCACATCTCTAAGCCGTTCAAAGCGGTTGTACTGAACGGTCAGATGAGACAGATTTACATCGGAGAGGATGAGCCCGAATGGAGTATCAATTGGAAAAAGAGTTTTCTCAATCTTTTACAGCTTAGCTTCAAGAATGACACGAATGGCAGCAGTTTCTACACCATCTCTGAAGTATGCATTTGTGTTGCCATTAATACCACAAATAATGATAATTCATAACTAATTTCAAACTATCCATAGAAAGGATCATTTGGCGAATGCGATACCACTTATATCATTAGATCGGAGCCCAGTCTCTTAAATTCAGAGAAAAGCATAAATATAACTAAAGTTAGAAACTATGAGAAATGCGCCAAAAGACCACATCCTTTTCGATATGCATCGGAAATAAGCCAACAGTGCCTTGACTTCAATACTATCAGAAAAGTTGGTCAAACAATATATGGCTTTCCATTTCTATTGATATAAATTAATAATTCTTGTGTTTATTTCAATTAAATAATAGCCTATTTTGCAAATATCATCCATTTATGACTATAATATGAAAGGAAATTTGAAAAACTTCGTCATCGAAAAGGTTACACAAAGAGAGTACATAACGAGCTCTCCCTTTGGAAAGGATGGCATTATTTTTGATTTGAAATCCAAGTAAAAACTCAATTAACATAAATATGTTTATAACTATTGTTTCATTTATTAGAGGAGTTCTCGAATTGCTTGACATTAAAGATATTACGGAAACACATGTTATACCCGAAGATGTAATCCCTTCGACAGATCTGACAAACTCTCCGCTCCAGAAGAATGAGTTCTTTGATAACATCGATCTGAGAAGAGCTCATTTTCTGCGCGATATATACAGATATCAGTCACCAGTGATTCAAATCATCACTTTATTGGATGAATGTGTCGCCGATTACAGTAAATCGGACACAAATACGGCTGAATCGGTGCTGCCGTCCAAATATGGAGAGATTATCGACGCCCTCTCCACTCTCGACTACGAGGCCATCGAACAGCTCTTCAAAACTGTTTTCGACAAAAGCGAAGATCACAGGTATTAGTGGTTCTTGTTTTGAAACAGACATGTATTTTATTGTCTAACATTTGACACAATTCTTTGAAAAATGCAAATTTTACATTTTATGATAGTTTCTGATAACAAGTGATAGTAAGCAATACTCTACACATTTGCAGATAAATTCATTTATTGATACAACAAATTATGATAAATATGTATGAATTGATGCGTTACTAATAACACTAGAAAAAAGTGTTGGAAATTTCCACAATTTTTCTGTTTCAAGAATAATATAATAAACGAGAAAATAGCGATTCAACAGAAAAATAGCTTAAAGAGTATTTCCACAAAGAATATAATACAAAATCAGCTTTAAATACAATCTATAAGTTATATTAGAAGCGAATCCCTTATAAAAGTTTGCAATAATAATGAATTGCCTTTTATTTGACGTTTAAGTGACCAAAAATAGAAATAGAAAACAATGTGTTTATTATTACTTTTGATATTATTTAATGATGGGATTTATGAGCTTTATTTTACACATACCTCTCCCTAATAGACAGCACGTGTCGTATATTGTTCTTATAAAATGACATTTTCTTGTTTTAGGTATTTTAAAGGTCTCTTAAAAACCTAAAAATATTTCATATCAAAATTCCGAAAAACATTCCGATAAATGTATAGAATTTTATAGTAAACTGAATTTTAAATATAAAAATTGTTAGATTTTATATGTATTTAATATCTTAAAAATTTTATTCTTTACAAGCAATTAGTTTATTAATTGTATTTGCAGAATCGCACAAAAAAAAACATTATTTAACAAGATACTTATAATGTTACTAATTGGAAAATAAAATAAACACCATTGTTAGTAATATGAGTGACATTAATCAATAATACGATAGAAAATTAAAAATATTTGATTGATTTAAATATCATAACATCACAAAAAAGGGAGAAATAAAAACAGAAAACACAATCAATCATGTAATAAAAAAATTATGGGACAAAATATTTTTATTTTTAACATTTCCTAATTTATTGTACAGTAAAGTGATTTATTGAGACCATGTTTTTTCCAAACTATATTATGCGTTATATAATATTATAGCGGCTATATTAAGACTCAAAGCATATTATTGATTAAAATCAACTAGTTATGTTAACTTATTTGATACTATTTTTAAAATCAAAACATTATTTACATAATAAAATTGTTGACTAATATTGCCATCAATATTAATCTTATGGGAAGCAAATAGTTTTGCAAAAACAATGTTTTCCAAAATTAATAAAATTATTGCAAACTTAATAAAATTTTCTATATTTAGGAATTCTTTAGGGGAATGAAAGAGCAAATAATATCATAATTTCTTGTGATAACAAATAAAATAATTGATTTATTGTATTAGACATTGATTTTGTTATTTAATGCCATCTTTACGTAAAAGCAAAATACATAAAGAATTGTGACGACAATCTCAATAAATATTTAATTGTTTGTCATTTAGAATCTGATTTCAATAATTATATTATTTATATGAACTGCAAATAGTGTTAAGAAAAAAAGAATCCCTTGGATTCTGTAAATTGTATATTTATAGACGACTTAAACAATAACTAAATAATTGTATTATATTAAAGAGAGAGAGAGAGAGAGGGAGAGAGAGAGAGGGAGAGAGAAGGAGAGGAGAGGAGAGAGAGA